AGCCTATGTATGCAAATTAACCGCCATCTTTGTTGGCGGTTAATTGGCATATCTCACTGATTAGCCAATGGGAGGCGTAGCAAAGGTATGGTCAATTTCAATCTTTGTCTATTATTAGATAGAATAATAATAATCACCTTTATCCTATATAATAAAAGCCTAATATGCTAAGTGCCCAGTCGTCCATTCAACCAAAGTATAATATGCTAATGATCTGCTAAAGCCACTCAACAGCTCGCTATGATGTGCACTGACCACCAGGGAGCAGACAGTCAATCAGTAGGTTAGCTTGGACTGAGCAAGTTGGTCCAGACACACCCTGGAGCCCTCCCACGGTCCCTCCCTGGCTGGCCTACCTCTCATGTCTCTCCCCGGCCCTGATCATACAAGGGTGGGGTCCCTTGGCCTGGCCTTCACTCTCTTGCAATCCAGGAGCCCTAGGGGGATGTCAGAGAGCCAGTTTCAGCCTGATCCCGCAGGTCAGGCCAAGGGACCCCACTGGTGCATGAATTTGTGCACCGGGACTCTAGTAAATAAAAAACTGTGAAGTGGTAGCCTATTCTTGAAACCAAGAACTAGGTTCTTGGTTTTATCACTTGCCACACAGACACCTTCCAAAAGTTATATGTACCTCCTCCCAGCATCTCTCTTTCTCATAAGGAGACTAGATTTGATATCTATTATTGGATTAAAAATTTCAAGAGAAGTAAAACTGTCTTCATTCATAGACAACAAGATCCCGTATATAGAAAAGCTTAAGAACCACATGCAAAAACTATTAGAACTAAAAATAAAAAATTCAGCAAGATCTCAGGATATAGGACCAATATAAAAAATTATATTGTATTTCTATATACTAGCAATGAACAGTCCTAAATGTTCTAAAACTGGATTTTAGCGATGGTTGCAAAACTTGGTAAATTTATTAAAAAATCATTGACTTGTACACTTAAAATGAGACTGTTTCATGATATGTTAGTTATATCTCAATGAAGTTTTTTTTAATTGGGAAATGTCAAAAGGCAAAGAGGACATTTTTTTTTTCAACAAAAGGAGGATTTTGTTTATTATTTATTCCTAACTCCTATGTTGTAATCTCCAGCATCACATACTCTAACCCTGAGTGGGAGAGCCCTAGTTGGGGAATTCCTAGGCTCTTTCTGGAGTAAAAGTTGAGATGTATGGCTACCAGTGTCTTAAATCTCAGCAATGACAGCAGAGGGAAGAACTTTAACAATCAGCTTGTACTGCTGTTTATCTGGAAGAGCACTGAAGAGCCTGATCACAAAGAAACAGTTTAAGGTAAAGTGAAAAGTCAAGTCAGGTAGTCAAGGGCAGTTCTGAGGGAGTCAGGATTCCTATTCCCCAGGATTAGTTGGGTCACACCCTAATGGGATAAAAGTCACTTTGGAAGGAAACTCTACCTCTTTGACTTCCAAGAACCAGTCATCTCCTTGGGCCAGAAGGAAGTCCTGGCTTTAATAACCCTAAATAAATAGAACATATAGAACTCTCAACGCTGAACTTTCAACAACTCTCAACGTCTTTGAAGACAAAGATAAAAACACAATCATTGCAGGAATTTCAATGGCTCATTTACATCGATGGCCCTCTGCCTTTGGCTTTTCAAAGCCCTACCCACATATAATTCAAATCACATTTGTAAACATAAAACATTCTCAGTATCAACTATAAGAATATTTCATACTTGCATGAATAATTTGTATTTCCTGTCTTGAAATATAAAAACCATCAGTGGGGTGAATTAAAATTCTGGGCTCAGAAGCAAAGTTTTCAGATAGATTTCCCCATGCTTTTGTGATTGAAATAAGCAGGTGCTCAACAGGAAAAGTAAGTTTCCTTTTTTTTTTTTTTTTTTTTTAAGTGCAACAATGGAACTCATGAACTGATTCTAGAGCATTTTGCCTATAACGGTTTTTATTTCCATTTTGATTTGTTATTTTTTTAATTATTATTTTTGAGAAATATTGATAGACTTGTGAAGAATACAGCACTCCTTTGTTATCCATCATATTTTGGGACTACTGGGCTAACCAAATACTCCAGTGCAAAGAGAGTTGACTGTTTGTAAAGAATAATAATAATGGGTATACTAATAGCTACATAACATGTACTATTACACAAACTTAACACAAACCTGTCCTAATTTTCTGCAAAGAAGTTTTAGTGAGGAAACTAAAGCAACTTGTCTGTGATCACATGAGGCAGCTCGATAGATTTGCAGTGCTAGAAACAGTGCTAAGCATTTTACATACACTATAACTTTTATTCTTCATAATGCCTCTGAGAAGAAACTATAATTCTAATTTCATAGATAAAAAAAAAACAGGGAGTTAGGAATAATTCTTATCCCAAATTTGTATTTAAAGTTGGACCAAAGAATCTCATCAGACACTACCTGGCTTCTCTCTTCTATGTGGCATCCAGCACATCTTGGATGATAGAGAATACGTATCAAGTTCTGCAAGGATGTCAATGTGAAAATGAATTATATAATTTCCAGGAAAACCTGGTTAAATAAACTGACTTTTGAAAAAAAAATCATTGTCATCGTTGGTAACAAACATCTGCCATTCCCAAAAAGAAGCCACTCAATTTTCATTAGTGACGCTGAGTTGTGACAATTCCTCATAGCTGGCAAGTTAATGGCTAGATTCAAAATACAGACTCAATAAGAGGAAGAGCAAAAGGAGGCAATTCTTGCGGCTTCTATGCAAAGCATGCATTAAAAAGGTAATTTATAAGAAAGGTAGACTGAATAGATTTGAGGATGAAATAACAAATGTTAAATTAGGCTTTAAAATTAAATTAAGGAAGTTTCAGAGTGACCAAATACAATTTTTTGTTTCTTCTTTTGTGTTAGCATTTGTTTTAGAATAGCCTGTTATTCATCTTTACTGGCTTCTGAAAATAAATATATTGAGTTAAAAAAAAAAAAACAGCTTTAATAAAATACCCCTGTTCTTGATGCATGTGTGTCTCCATCCACAATATTTTCTTCACAGGGTCCAAGAGCTAAAGAGCAATTTGGGGTTGTGGCCTTTCAGAGCCAGGCAAATTATCACTGTAATGGGGTCAGCAGAGGGCCAATTGCTTTTCCTGAATTAGCATGTGAAAGGAATGTGGGCAAATTAACTGTGTCCGACTAAACTCTACTTTACTTGCTATGAGGTGACATATTGCTAAAGCCAGATTGGTCTCCCAAAATGGAACTCTTCAGGGATCCTGTGCAGGTTCATTTCACTTTCTGGTCATTGGTCTGCATAATAATAAGACTCACAGGTATTTAGTACTCACTACATACCAGGCTCTAGTGCTTTATAGCTCTTACTTTGTTCTCAAAATAAGCCTAGGAGATAATTGATTCATCAAGATGCATTACAGAACAAAAGGAACCAATCTAAATATTTTAAGCAAGGTGGAATTTAATATAGGGAATTGGGTGTTTACAACATTGTTAGCCAGGCTGGAGGGATAAGTTCTAGACCCAATATCCAGAACTAATTCCCAGAGAAATACAGAACTAGCCCACTAAGAGAGCAACTTTCATGAAGGGCACCGAAGCTTGTAAATTCACCAACATGTCCCAGAACAGGAAGCTGACTTCAAGAAGCTGCTTCTACTGCCACATCCTTTGACACCCAGGAAGCTGGAGAAAGGATACTGGAACCCTGCTGAGAATAAAATCTCACATCTCTAGGATCTTTGCATGCCAGTGAAAAACTGGCCAAGTGGGATGCCAGGATGGCCTCATGTTTGCCTTCCAAATTTCAAACAAATCCATCTAAATGACAAGACCCAAATCACATCCACACCCCTAGCTGCAAAGGGATTTGAGAAATGCAGATTTTTAGTTTTTCAACCTCTACAAGAGAGAAAGAATCCAAGGAGGGAGGTGGAATGTAAGATAAGCAAAGCAATCCACATTGTTTATCCCATGTGCGTACTATATTACAATCCTCATCATCCCTTTAATAGATCAGGAAACAGAGGCACAGAGAATTAAGTAAATGGCCCAAGGTCACACCAAGGTGGTCTTCTCTAGAACCTGTGCCCTTCACCACAGGACTTTACTCGTTCCCTACAGCCAGGTTGTGGTCCCGTGTCCACATAGGCTAAAAGAAAATCCCAGCAGCATTGTTCACCAAGGTGAAACATGTTTCAATGATAAAAAAAATTCCAACAAGGTAAATCAGGAAAGAGCCAAAGCCATAGTATACTACTCTAGTCTTCATACTTTTATAATACTAACAAAAATCCACTTAACCAGCTACATCTAGCAAAACTCTTGAATTTTACTCTTTCATAATCTCTGACTATTGATTCAGGTACTATGAGATGCTACTGAGAAGGTGTTTCAGCCTAGAGAACCAGGAATATCCAGGGATCCAATCCCAGATAAATCCCCATTAATCACTAAATTTAAACCCAAATCTTAGAATTTACTACCAAAATGTGGGGAGGAGCCTTTTCCAGAGGGATGAAATGAGAGCTCCAGAAAACAATAGAAATGTCTTTCTTTCCCTAGCCCCGAGTTGGTGTGGCAGAGACAATGCCAAGGGTTCACCAAATCCATTTTACTGTCCTCTTGGGCCCCTTTGCAGCTAGGTTGGAGCTGTGTGAGTTCTGGGCAATGGAAGCTGGGAAGCAGTGATACACAGTACTTGCAGGCCTGGCCATCCCTTCCTGATGGCCACGCTGCAAGTTCGCACTGGTGGTGTCACAAGATAGAAGGAGCCTGAGCTCCTTCTGAATGATCGCCAACCACATTAGACTGTGATGTGAGCACGCAATACATTTTTCTTGAATTGAGCCATAAAGGTCTGGATCTGTTTGTTGCAGCAGTTAGGCTGACTAATACAGCTGACCTGAACCTTCTGCTACATATCTTAACAAAGGCAGGCCAGGTCGGATTTATAAGGGAGTATGAAAAAAAGGCATTACTCTCTGGATAGCCTCAATTTCATGACATTTTACGTACCTCTCATCAACATCAGACTCTTCATACAGAAGTTCATTCAAGAGTTGCCATCCCCTTTGCTTTGCCTCTGCTTCTCAGACCAGGCAAAGCTGGACACAGTCCTGGAGAAGAGGAAAAAAAAGAGCTAAACGGAGTCAGAGAGAAAGGGGACTCTACCTGAAATTGCTGGACCTTTAAACTCCTTTGATAGTTCCATCCCTGGAAAACAGTAGCCCCTTCCATTCACTGAAATCAGTTCACTGGGATCAGCCCTCTTCCGCCTGGGGTGGGAGCAAGCAGCATAGAAAGGACAGCAGGGAGAGAGGGGGTTTGTGCGGACTCTTCTGGGGACCAGTGGTGACCACTGAGACAGCCTGCACTGGTGAGGGCTCCTTCCTGTGCACTGAAAACATGAAGAGGCTAAATCAGATTTCACCCCGCTAAGAAGAAAACCAAAGATCTTTAAGAGTACCATTTACATACGATAGCAAGTATGTTCATTGTAGATCACTTTTAGCTGTTCATTAGACCAAATCCCCTGGGGATCTTTTATGTCAATGCTTTGGAAATTAGTCCTTGTTACTTTATGTAATTAAAAACAATAAAGCTAAGTGCCTGTTCTACTCTTTTGTAATTTTAAACAGGGGCTCCCAACCTCAGGTCCTATCTCCAGGCCCCTCCATGGCCTCAGAGGTAATGATAGGAATCTATGCAATATTTTCATCATATCAGAAAACCTTAGAGAAACAGGACATTTAACTTAAAGCTGAATGAGCTAACCAAATCAAGTTTCTGTTTTTTGACTGAGATCACATCAGCTTAGTATAATAATTATCTCAGAGGATAATTGATTGATAATTATCTCATGCTAGTTGGACACTCAGAATAACAGTCATTTAATGTATTTGATTAATATAAATGCGTAAATGACTCAATAAGACTTTTATAAAGAACAACTTTTAAGAAATAAGCTCCACGAAGGAGGCTATTCTTAGAAGTTTAGGAATCTAGCCAAAAAATGGAAACAGCCCAAGTGTCTCTCAACTAATAAGTGGATAAATAAAATGTGGTATAACCATACAATGACATATTATTTAGCCATAAAAAGAATGAAGTACTTATACATATTACAACACGATGAGCCTCAAAAGCCATCATACTTAGTGAAAGAAGCCAGTCATAAAAGAGCATATAATATATGATTTCATATATGTGAAATGTCCATTAGACTGTAGAGACAGAAGTTGATTAGTGGTTACAGAGTGCTGAGATGGAGAATGAAGAGTGATTGTTAACAGATATGAGATTTCATTTTGGAATGATGAAAATTAGGTTATGGTGATTGCTGTACAACTCTGTATATATACTAAAAACCATTGAATTGTACATTTAAGCAGGTGAATTTTATGGTATGTAAATTGTGTTTTTGTAAGCTGTTAACCTTTTTCAGAATCATAAATTGAACTCCATAATTTTCCATTTGACTTGACCCCAAATTTGCCTGAATTCATGGAATCTTACAGCCTGGGAGTAAAGTTGAGTTCTGGAGAAACAAAAGCAAACAATAACTATGTCGTCTCTCAGAGGAAAATGCAAGAACTTCAGCCCTCTCTCCCCACTTGCCTTGAGTCCTCCCATATTCCCAGCAGGAAGCTGTGAGATAGACTGTGATCCAGGAGGAGCTCTGTCCTCATACAGGACCGGGGCCTCAGGCACACATTTATTTATTTATTTGTTTAAAATTTATATTCATTGTTGAAAGTATTACAGATGTCCCCTTTTCTTCCCACATTGAGTTCCTCCACCCTGCTCCCACCCCCTCCCCAGGTTATGCATATTATATGTGGAATCTAATGAACAAATAAACTGATGAACAAAATAGACCCAGAGACATTGAAGCACACAACAGAAGCGCCTTTTCAATTCCATGCAGAGAGTAAGGCCAGTGGCCCTTCAACCACACCAAGGCCAGTCGTCCTTCTTGGCAGTTTCCCCTTTTCCATTTGCTGCCAATTTTACCTGGCACCACATCTGCACACATGGCATGCTTTCCTTTTCCCCTTTGAGGCATTTAACAAATTTTTACCAACGTCATCAAAAAGCACAAAAGCATTCTCCTAATTAAATTGTAAGTCAATTGTGAAAATTTCAGAAAATATATAAAAGTAAAAGGAAGAAAATACAACTACCATCTAATAATAACCTTTGTTAACATTTTGGCATAGTTCTTTCTAATATGTAATATACATATGTATATACATATTTTTTACCCAGTTGATATCATACCGTAAATTCATTTTTATAGACTATAGAATCATGTAACTAGTCTCCTTATTGTCACAAGCTGCTAAAATGCCTAGAATCAAAAGCACAAAGCTTACAACATTCATGTTCTGGAGAAAACTCACTCCTAGCTTAATTTTATGTTTTTCTATTCAGATTTCTTCTGTCCTACTTTTCATGTTTTTATTTCTATATTTAATCTTGTTTTATTATATGAATTTCTATAAACTACTTTAAAGGCTTTCCAAAGTCATTTTTTTCATCATAACCATTTTTAAGTGTACAGCTCAGTATTATTAAGTATATTCACACTAGAGGCCCGGTGCACAAAATTCAGGCCTAAACCAGCAGTCAGACATCCCTCTCGCAATCCGGATGCTGCATGCACCAGTGACCATACTTTTCATTCAGGTGAAAAGCATCTTGCTGTTGTATGGGCAGCTACATTTTTTTGCCTTGATTATAAAAAGTAGTACATAACATGATTCTTCTGAGGCAGTAGTACCATTTTCCCCATCTTGTAGGTGGAAAAACTGAAGCAGAGAGAAATTAAGTAATTGGCTTTGTCACACAGTTATAAGTGTCAGAATCAGGGCTGACCACAAAATGTGCATGCCAGAGTCCATGTATGTCATCGCTGCATCATCCTGTTCTTTCGGTGTTAGGGTAGTCTTGCCAGGTTTTAATTTTTAAATTAAAGAGACTATCCCCAATATATAGGGTAGGGTCCCTAGGCCTGGCCGGCGATCAGGGCCTATTTGTGGGGCAACCAGTGGGCGGGGTGATTGGGGGCCCCCCTGCTGGCACCCGCCTTGGCTGTCAGCCTGGTGCAGCCCACTGGCTGGCACCCTCCCCCAATCGCCACCGCTGGTTGCCTCCCTCTTGGGGGGAGAGGGGTGCAGACGCTCAACAGTGGAGCTGCCTCCAGTCAGGGGCAGCTCCTGCGTTGAGAGTGTGGTCAGTGAGTGTCATAGCGGCCAGTCATTCCACCATTCGGTCGATTTGCGTATACCATTTGTATACCATTTTTAAAGAAATGATTATTCGCATCTTTTGCCTATTTTTGTGTTTATGTTGTTGAGGTGTAGGAGTTCTTTATATATTCTGGATATTAACAACTTATCAGATATCTGATTTGTAAATAATTTTTACAAAATGGGTTGCCTTTTCATTCCAGTGATGTGTCCTATGATACAAAGAAGTTTATAAGTTGGATGCAGTCCCATTTCTCTCTCTCTCTCTCTTTTTTTTTTTATTTTTTTTTATTGCTGGTGCTTTTGGTGTCATAATCAAAACTCAAAAGCAAATCCAATGTCTTGAAGCTTTTTCTCTGTTTTCTGCTAGGAGTTTTATAGTTTGGGATCTTATGTTTAGAGGTTTAATTTATTTTGAGTTAATTTTGTATACGGTATATGACATAAGGGTTTAACTTCACTCATTTGCATGGGGATATTAAGTTTTCCCAGTACCATTTGTTAAAGAGACTGTTCTTTTCCCTTTGAATGGTCTTGGCATCCTTGTCAAAGATCATTTCTTTGATCATATGCAGAAGGATTTATGTCTGTCTTCATGCCAGTACCACACTGTTTTGATAGCTATAACTTTATAATACGTTTTGAAATCAGAATGTGTGATACCTCTTCCTATGTCCTTTTTCAAGATTGTTTTGGTTATTTGGAGTCCATTGAGATTCCATAAAAATTTTAGGATGAATTTATTTCTATTTCTGGAAAAAAAAAAAAGCCATTGGGATTTTGATAGGGATAGCATTAATTCTGTAGATCACTTTGAGTAGTATTGACAACTTAATAATATTGTTTTCCAATCCATGAACACAATATGTCTTTCCATTTATTTAACCCTTCCTTAATGTCTTTCATCAGAGTTTTGTAGTTTTCGGTGTATATGTCTTTCACCTCTTAGGTTTGGTCTATTCCTGAGTATTTTATTATTTTTGATGTTATTGTATTTGAAATTATTTTCTTAATTTCTTTTCAGACTATTTATTGTTAATGTACACAAACATAACTGATGTTTAAATGTTGATTTTTCTATCTTGAAACTTTCCTGAATTTGTTCACTAGTTCTAACAATTATTTTTGTTTAATCTTTAAGTTTTTAATGTATAATATAATTTCATCTTCAAATAAAGATAAGTTAATTTATTTGGATGCAATAAACAGTTTTTTAAATAGTAAATTATTTCCTGTTTTATTGAGGCATAATTGACATAAAATATTGTATTCATTACAGGTGTATAACATAATCATTTGATATATGTATACTAGTACTAGGTATACTGGTTAATAATGCTGGATTTTGCAATGAAAGAAAACATGATAATTTCAAGAGAAACATCAAAAGTGCTTTATTTAAAATAATGTCCACCGCTAGCTACACATTTCCCCATCTTTCAGGTAATTTGTGGATATCGTCCCAATAGGACTTTTCTTGTTTTGAGGTAAACCACTCAGAGACCCAATTTTCCACTTCTTTGTATGTTTTGAAGTGCTGCTCAGAAAGTGTGTGTGCCATCGATTGGAACAGTGGTAATCTGAAAGAGCAAGGTCTGGTGAATACAGCAGGTGGGTTAATGTTTCCCAGGCAAGATCTTTTAATGTGTCTTTAACTGGTTTGGAAGTGTGTGATGGTGTGTCATCATGAAGCAAAATTACTTCTGGCATATTCTGGTCATTTCACAATCAAAGCGTGGTTCAAATTGATTATTTGTTGTCAGTAGCGGTCAGTATTAACATTTCACCTGGTTTTAGAAGCTCATAATACACCACACCTTCTGGATCCCACCAAACGCAGAGCATTGTCTTCTTTCCAAAGTGAT